TTATCTTTTCTTTCTTTTCCATATACCTATCGAGTCAGGTTGGCCGAGTGGTTAAGGCGCCTTGTTTAAGCCTTGGTTCCCTAACGGGAGCGTGGACTCGAATCCCCCACCTGGCATTTTTTGCAAAATTGTATTTGAAGCTATTTTATTGAAACCAAATCTCCAGTTTCCAGTGCTCTAGCACTGAGCTAAAGAGGCTCATGCTATGTTTGAATTGAATTTTTGTTAACAGTACAATTATAAAGGAAATAATATATCAGGTTCCAGTTTATACTAGAAAGCAAGTCTGAACCTGTAGGAAACAGGTCTAAACCAGTAGAAAATAAGTCTTAAATTGAGGTGACCTTGACCCNGTAGGCCGCCGCCATCTTATCGCTAACGACCAATCAACTTCCTTGCAGACCGCCGCCATCTTCTTGTTAGCGATCTATCACCTGCCCTCAGCCTCCACAGGTAGCCGCCCCCGTGCCGCTATGACACTTCTTGCGGCCCGATGGCCATGTGACGTCACTTCCATGCCGCCATAACACTTCTTGCAGCTTAATGGCCATGTGACGTCACTTCCATGCCGCCATGACACTTCTTGTTAGCGACCTGCCCTCAACATCCTCAGGCAGCCACCCCCGTGCCGCTATGACACTTCTTGTATGCCAACACCCACGCATCTCTTGCACAACGACAATGCCCACAAGAAGCCGCTGAAGGAGCGATGGACACTGGCCATCGAGTTCGTGACGTCATTTAGTGTGGCGCAGAACCGGCCTCATATATCTACTCCTAACCCACTATCTTTACAAATAAGAGCAACTCAATCAAATCAAAATAATAATAAATGTACATTTACCAAAGGCGAGGGGTAGTGAATTTTCACAATCTGCATATTTGGTCAGAAGAAAATCCTCATGAAATTCGGACAAGATCTTTTCAACACTAATTTTCTGTGAACGTGTGGCTTGGAATAATTCGCAATAGTTTGTGGACTTTCTTCTTGCTACCCCGTCTAAATTCCCAGTCATTTCTAAACTTTCTAGAAAACCATCTATTTGAATTTTTAGAGAATGTTCCATTAAATAACTAAAATAGCTGGAAATAATGGATGGTGTTCCTGCACATTCTGGAAGAATAATATAAGAATGGCTTAATGAAAATTATGTAAGATGATGGATAGGTAGAAGACCAAATGCCAATGTCAACCATAATGGTGCAGAGGGTCCAGTGTCTTGGCCAGCCAGATCGCCAGATCAAAACTCCCTGGACTTCTATGTTTGGGGTGACCTACCTGAAAAGTTTACTCTACTCCAATAGATACTAGACCACAACTACTGCAGCGAATAGAAGACGGGTGTAATGAATTAAAAGAAAACCACCACATGATATTAGCTTCAATTAGTTCCATTAATAGAAGATGTCAGAAATGTATCGATGTGGGTGGTTCACATTTTAAACAATTGCTGTAAATACGTAACATTAATTTTGTTTCTTGTTTAGTTGTTGTTGCTTGGTAAATGTATTTTTATTATTATTTTAATTTAAATTGTTCTTATTTGTGAAGATAATATCTCAGGGAAAACTAAAACACACCAGGAATACTACCTCACAAGTGATGTGGAAAGAATTTGTTACAAATTGCACTTACTTTTAAGCATAAACATAAATATTCTTGTAATATTATGGTTAGAAGTGTCTGCCACAAGGGGATTGTATTTGTATGAATAACTTGAAAATGGTGAACCTTAGGGAAAAAATTCAAGACACCTTTTTTACGTATTTACTGCATTAGAATATAAATCCGTTACAATAACTTGTAAAAAATACAGTGGCGTAGGTTTTTTTTATAAAGAGGGGGTGACCCCTGTCCAGTTGTACACCACCTGTTAAACCTTTAGAGCTCATATTTTAGGAAATGCAAAGCCTACTATTGTACATTATTTGTACCAAATTTTATTAAGATCGGTTAATAGATTCCTGAGATATAAACAAAAAAATATATATTTTTAACAACTTCAACACCCTGTATCTCTAAAACGAGGCCGTTCCAGACCTATGTTTATAAGGCAAACTCCTATTATTTTAAAGAGATCTATCTGTCCTCGAAATTTCCTGCATAAAATTCGGACCACCCTGTATATCTATTTGTTTTTGGGGTCGCTGTATCCAAATCCTATGTCCATCTGGGTGAAGGCCAGTTCAACGTCAAATGTAGAGAATCAATTGCCAACAAAGTAAACCTACATATCCATACGTTTTTGATGTTGCAGAAGCCGAATCTGGTGTTCGTTTGGCCCGACCAGGTCTGGGTTAAGGCCAGTTCAAGGTCAAAAATCAATTGCTAAACAAAAGTAAACCAATATATCTATACGTTGGGGTCGCCGAATCCGAATTCGGGGTCTGAAAATCAAAGTAAGCATTTATGGGTAGGTATTAAAATTTAAGTCACGAATAAGATTAAAGAAAGAAAACGTAACTCTAAGCCCGTGACTCTCTGATTGTTTTGATAAGACAAAATTCTAGTATTAATAAGCCTAATTAAGTAAGCTTTAAACCCATGTGTGCGTTAATGCTTTATATACATTAATTTACACAGTCAGTCCGTGTCGTTTGAAATTCTTGAGAACAGATTTTCAAGAGAAGGTTTTTTGCCTTGATGAATCACATCTACTATATATATACTACTATACTACTATATACTATACTATATCCCACTATTATGGTATCGAGACTACTACTCTCGATTGTGGTGTCGAACTGTTTTGCTGTCAAAAGATCTGCGAAGTGGATTTCTTTTAAGTTTTCCCGACTTTGATGATAAATCTCGTTTTAACGACCAGCAATAATCGGCTAATACATATATTTATATCCGATCTACCTTGGTACCGACACTCCATAATATATTGTTGGAATCTCTCTCCCTGCTCCTCAATGTAGTCAACCAAATTTTCTGGGAAATAATCCAAATGAGCCATTTATGTTGTTCGTATTTGATTCTATGTAAGACTATCCTCAGATTACCGCATTCTTGTTTCAATGTGCCACAAGTATGGCTGCATACACATTTGTATTTTGCAGTATAACAGCTTTCATGCTTCTCTTTGACGAATCAATGAACAGTCCACTCTACTCGTTAAGTTTATAACATCTATGTTTGAAGCGATTCATACAATATCATTGTAGTAACCTAAGGAGAATTCTATATCGTTAGAAACATATTCCTTGTTTCTGTACTGATAGTAAAAAGCTTTAACTTTTCCGGCTTGCTTAGTATTTTTTTTTAACCATGATATTAGGAACGTTGCTCCATTCTCTGCCAGGCCCAAATCTCGAACATCATTTAATTTTTTTTGTGATATTGTCCCTGTCTTTCTCACAACGTGATATGGAATATATTTGCCATCACTAGTATCAGTGATAGTTTCATTGCCACCCAAATTTTCTCCTTTTTTAATATCTTGGTGAAACCTTTCTCTCTGCTCAAACCCAATCAAAGTTTTCACTTAAGTTTAAAACCAAAATATTTGTATAAGCATCTTTCGTATATTGATTGATATTTTTCTATTAGAAAGTATTTAATAGACCTGATCGGTTCAAACGGACATCAGAATCGGATTCAACGACCCCAAAACGTATAGATATGTTTACTTATATATTTTTACGTTTACGTATATATAAGTTTACTTTGTTTTCAATTGATTCTCTACATTTGACCTAGAACTGACCTCAACCCAGATCTGATTGAGTCAAACGGATTACAAATTCGGTATTCGGCAACCCCAAAACTTATAGATATGTAGATTTACTTTGTTGGCAATTGATTCTCTACAATTGACCTTGAAGTGAACTTAAACCAGATCTGACCAAGTCAAACGGACACCGGATTCGGCGACTCCAAAAACGTATAGATACGTAGGTTTAGTTTGTTGATAATTGATTTTCTACATTTGAGCTTGAACTGACCTTAAACCAGAGCTAATCACGTCAAACGGACACCGGATTCAGACTTGGCGACCCCAAAAACGTATAGATACATAGGTTTAGTTTGTTGATAATTGATTTTCTACATTTGACCTTGAACTGACCTTAAACCAGAGCTAATCGTGTCAAATGGACACCGGATTCGGATTAAGCTACCCCAAAACCATATGGATACCATGGCCTTTGCTACGACTCCCTCTAGCGGGAGGTTCTACACTGGGCAAAAGCGTGTAGCAAAAAAAAGGTAAGTCAAATCCTAGGCCTGCCCGGAGGACCTAGTATAGACTAGCTCTCTCTCACTAGATCTCCTCAGGGTCGTTTTACCTGGCGGTGGCCAGCCAATTGCCCAGACGAGACGATGACTCTAAATAAACATAAAAAATAAAGCTTGAGCTGAGACAGTTATTCAAGAATATTCCTTGTTCGAGAAATAAAACCAGGCAATTCCCCAACAAACAATTTATTAGTGAATAATAAATAGAATATACTACGGTTAATTAGCGGAATGGCCTCGTAAGGTAGACACTCTGTAGGTGTGAATAATGACAAATGATGTATATAATGTCACANCTCCTCGTCGATAATTTGTTGTTTAGCCGGAGAGACAGCGTAGTATCGTTGTTTTATCGGTTTGGTACCAGGTACAAGCTCAATCTCATGCTCAACAAGATGAGTCAGTCCCCTGGAAGTTTCCATTAGCTGCTTGTTTCTTGCAACCAATGTATCCAGAGCTTCTCTCTGGGAAGGACTTAAAGCAGAACTACTTTGAATACTATTCGCTTGCACTACCGGATCAGACTCAGAAAAATGCCAAATACTCTGCCTAAAATCAGGAACAATGTCCATAGACATCCAAAAATCTATTCCCAAAATGAGCCGATGTGGTAATTGAGGAACAACTAAAATGTCGATAATTCGGGTCTTATCCATTAAACATATAGGAGTCGAAATATACCCTATACTCACACATGACTGACCATTCGCAACAGTACATGCAGTCTCAACAGGTTTCAGTACTAGACCTACCCGCTTCAAAATTTCGTAGCCCGGGCTACCCACTAATGTTCTAGAGGCTCCAGAATCTAATAAACCAACTAAAGGACAACCTAGCACGGATACTTCTAAATAAGGACGCATATCACCTGACACCTGAGCAAAAACGAAATCGAGGAAAATTTTTCTCCTAATGACAGTCTCACTATTGTCACTAATCGGGTTGGTCGAAGGACTATTCGGGGAAGGAACTTGTCGACCAGCTAGTGCCTCCCGGGAACGTTTCCCGAAGGGTTACAGGTTGGACATTTCCTAACAGTAACACCTACCTTACCACACTTAAAGCAAAAAATTCTCCGAGCTGCGGAACAGTTTCGGAATCTATGGCCCAGTTGACCACAATTGTAGCAATTACCAGAGATGTCACCATTACTACGAACTTCATTCAACTCTATACTACTCGAAATAGATCTCGAATTAGAGGTTCCCACAAAAGCAAAATCAGGTTCAACATAGGTATTCCTTTTCCTAGCGGGTGGACGATAGTTGTCGGCTCTATACTTTTTCTTTTCTAATTTAAGACACTCATCCTCTAACTCAGACAATGAATTGACAACAGGAAGTTGCATAATATAGAAAGGGGCTAAATTCCTAGTAATTAATCGTAACTGCACATCTTCTGCTACTGTCCCATAGCGACGAAACATTGAAAGCATACAAGAAAAATATTCGATAAAGCTTTCAGAAGGATCCTGGGTGCGAGACAAAATTTCATCAAACAGTCGTTCTTTATAATCTGGAGGTTCGTAATGTCTTATCAATAATCGACGTAACTCTTCCCAATTAGAAACACGATCCTTATTCGAACGAAACCAAAGGAGAGCTTTTCCCTCAAACAGATCAATAGCAGACTCAAAAACTTGTTGTACGCTAACATTTCGAGCTATACTAAGCTCTTGGACTCTTTCCAGAAAATTGTGAACAGAAAGTCCTTTAGGGTCACCAGAAAATTTTAAATTCCATTTTTGAACAGGTTGAGACGAAGAAGGAGGGGGAGGAGAACGAGTAGAGTTAAGCGCAGAGGCAGCCGGATCTACAATACTATCAACAGACACATTACCTTGAGCTGCAGCCTCAGAAAATACGGATTCATATCCACCAGCAACATCACGTGACATAAAATTATCAAGGAAATCTAATAACTTCAAACTATCAGAAAGATAAGCAGAACGTAGTTGACTCTGTTCAGAAGTTAACGAACTAGTTGGCATCTGATCAATACGATGAAGAACATGGTATAATCTACTTCTAATAACTTCAGGACTCTGTTTAAGCGTACCAGAAAGAAGTTTATCTAATAATCCCTGTAACTCTAAACACTTATCACGAATCGTTTTCAACTCATCATCAATATTTAAATTATACTCGGGGTAACTCAAAGACGTATCTGATTTTTCAAGCCTTAACAAAGGTCTCAAACAAGTGCGTAACTCATCTACCGTTTTTGTTTCATCGCAAGTGACTCCACGTATAGCTAATTCAAAAATTAATTCATCTTTCTTAAGTCGATTAATGTCCATTTTAAGAGAAGCCATCGCGTGAGAGGTAAAACTACAGCAAAAAGTTAACTATTAAACACGTGTAAAATACTACTATTTAATCAAAAATAATTTTAAAATCTACTTGATTACTAAAGGAACCGAAACATTAAACACTCGGTATGTTTCGGACTCGAAATAGCTACCAAAAAAAATATACCAATTGTATACTACTATTAAAGCTACAATAAAAAGAAATCACCCCCAAAATAACAATAAGCGAAGCGGACTCTAGCTTAGGGATAGCAATAACACGAATTTTACACTCTAACACGAAAGCGAAATAAAAAAAAAATCTCAATCACAAGATCCAGCGCAAACTGTACGTAACTACAAAATTTCCAAACAAAATCTCAATATACATATACCTTAAATTCAGAGAAACGTCAAAGTATAGCGACAATAATATCAATAAAATGTACTAAAAAAAACATATACACATATGCACAGTGAGTGTATATTTCATCGAAAAAAGGAATATTCTTTACAATTTAGTTGGGCGCCATTCCTGCTACGACTCCCTCTAGCGGGAGGTTCTACACTGGGCAAAAGAGTGTAGCAAAAAAAAAAGGTAAGTCAAATCCTAGGCCTGCCCGGAGGACCTAGTATAGACTAGCTCTCTCTCACTAGATCTCCTCAGGGTCGTTTTACCTGGCGGTGGCCAGCCAATTGCCCAGACGAGAAGATGACTCTAAATAAACATAAAAAACCAAAGCTTGAGCTGAGACAGTTATTCAAGAATATTCCTTGTTCGAGAAATAAAACCAGGCAATTCCCCAACAAACAATTTATTAGTGAATAATAAATAGAATATACTACGGTTAATTAGCGGAATGGCCTCGTAAGGTAGACACTCTGTAGGTGTGAATAATGACAAATGATGTATATAATGTCACAAACAGTAATTAACAAGAGAGTCTCGCAAGGTAGACACTCTGTATATGTAAATAATGACAAATGGTGTATATAATGTCGCAAACAGTAATTAACAAGAGGGTCTCGCAAGGTAGACACTCTGTAAATGTAAATAATGACAAATAATGTATCTAATGGCACAAACAATAACTAACGAGAGGGTCTCGCAAGGTAGACACTCCGTATATGTAAATAATGACAAATTAGGTATATAAAGGAACAAACAGTACATTAACAAGACGTTGCCAACAAAACCTTAACTACTCGCTATACTTATCAGTTTTTTCACTCGGTATGACTGCTGGGGTGTTACTGGTACAGGGTCGCCCTGTCTCGGGATCGAGGGGTGAAGTTCTAGCTGTCTAAATCGAAGGACGTCCGCGCCAAGGTCCACCAAACCACATGGGGCGTATGGGTGATAGTTCACCAAGCAGGGGTTTCGCCAACAACAATCAAACTCGTCACAGTCGACGTGGGGAAGCAGAAAATAAACATCCCAAGGACGGAGGTGATGAAAGAGGAAGCAGAAAAAAAAACCCTGTATAGAAATACGGTTGTAATAACGGTAAAACTAAATCACGAGAACACTGCATGCTCTGTATAACTAGGTGAAAATAATGAGAAGAAAAATTACCTTTTTACTAAGGGTTTTTTTCCACAGAAGGGAGGTCGAACCTCCACTCTCGACGAGGGCCTTCTACTGACGGAAACTGATAGCTTCGATTAATAAAACGGGCTCAACTTCTGTACCTTCAGCTCGTAAAGTCGAAATGTGCTGTCTATTTCCCAAAATAGTTTAATTCTCCATCAAACGAGAAAATACGGTATCCAGACAACCACACTACACTAGAGAATTATTTAGAGCCTCGATGAAAAAGTATCCCTTGCGGATGCTTCAAATAATGCACAAATTTTCCATCAAAGAACATGCAGCCATTTCGCCTTTGACAGTCACAGCGAGAATCAGAACGGAAACCAGAAATTGGTAGGGGGAGGGAACGAACACCGCGCGACGGAGAAATTCCTTTCAGTGGCCGTGGTACCACTGTCGCGAATTGAAAACGGACTAAGCATACGGGTGGCCGGAATTCGACCGCGGCAAGCGCGAGGAACCAAAGGTAGCGAGGTAACCAAAGAAGGCGATACAATGCGATTAAACGCTATTGTGATGATTTACGCTACCGCAAAATTAAACCGTAACAAACATTTTATCTGCTCCCACAGTTGTTTAGGGTTCATGAAATAAGATTAGGTTTTATTTTTTGACATTTCTTAATCAATTCATTTTGATATTATTCGAAATCTTGCAAAGTCACCTTGGTTGTTTGGATTTTGTCGTTTATAAACAAAGCTACATAAAAGTTGCACTTTTGCTGGTTTTGAATTATTATTTCTAAATGAGTGATTTTCAAATAGAAGGTGCAGCAAATACTGCCTGCTAATTTTTATTGCCTTAGATGTCGAAAGTACGCTACGGACGAGCATATAGAAATTTCAAAGAATGGTGCCAGAACAAAAATACTGGTGTTTCTGAAATGTCACTGCTACCATATTTCATGAAGAAGTCAAGATATCAATTTAAACAAAAACTAAGACTATTTTTAGTAGATAAGTGTTTTTATTTTGTATTGGAATATATTTTTGCTGTTGTGTTTTAGGTCATTATTTATTTATTTGACTATTGTTATACAATCCTTTTTTTGTCCACAACAAGATAAATAAAATAAAAAAAAGAATTTTAAAGTCACCCTGCCGCGGTAAACTGTTATAGTAGTTCCGATAACATAACTTTATTGGCTTATTCTTTTCTTGGAATTCCATCTCGACAAATATCATACGGACTTATATCCCAGCATTTTAAGAGATATCAGAAATATGTTTAAAATATTCTTATATGAATTTTTACGTAGAACACTATGGTGTACTCAGCTTTCTCCTTAATTCACATTTACCGGGGAAGTGTTACTGAAATAAAGTGTGCAATATTTTCTCTTTGTCCAACATTTTATAATTTGTTTGAATTTCATGATCAACATTTAATCTGAAAAAAAAACACCGGACTCTACGCAGGGGTTTTTGGGGTCGTTGATTCCGATGCCGAAGTCGGTTAAGCTCTATCACGTCGGGTTCAAGGTAATTTGAAAGTCAAACTAAGAAAAGGTAGTTGAAAAAATTTGAAAAATTGCATACATAGGTTTTTTGGGTAGTTGAGCTTGAATACGATGTCAGTTGACCTCTATCACCTCATGTTCAATGTTTGAAGGTTAAAGTAAGAATAGGACGTGAAAAAGATGGGAAACATTTTTTTAGGGACACTTACTCAGCTGCTTAGTTTTGACTGTTTATCTGTCTGCCTTTTTACCTGCACATCTGTTTGTTTGCTTGTTAGTGTGTATTTATCGTCCGCCTGTATTTTCTCTATGTCCATCTACCTGACATCCTGCCTTTTTACCTGCCTTTCTGTAGGTAATTTTGTCTACCTTTCTGTCTGACTAAATGACTAAATGTTTCTATCCGTCTGTTTTTCTGCCACCCTCTGTCTAAATGTCCATTGGCAGTCTGTCTGCCTCCTTGTCAGTTTGTCTCGGTTTTGCGTGATTGTACAAAAACTAGATTAAAAAAGAAACTTTTGAAAGCCTTCACAAATCCGTTTACTTCTCTCAACATAAGTGTATTAACCGAAATACGGGCAAGAACGCTTACGTTGTTCCTGGCATGATCCTCGAATCGCTTTTTATGTGCTTTATTTGTGTGTCTCTTTAGATTCCAGCAATAGTCTGCTAACATATTTTCCCCCAAACACCTTCATATCTTTATTCAAGTCCTGGTGCATTCTTTCTCCTTGTTCTTCACTAACAGCTGCCAGATTTTCTGGGAACCAATCAAGATGAGAATGAAGAAAATGAAGTTTCAGATTCATATATATGAAAAAAAAAAACATATGTATGAATTTTTAAGATTTTTTCAACCACTTTTTCTTAGTTTGACCTTCAAATGATCTTGAACCTGACGTGATGAAGCCTAACCGACCCGCTCATGGTAATCAACGACCCCAAAAACCCCTGGGGACCTAGTTAGAATCCGGTGTTTTTTTTTTCAAACTAAATATCGACCTGTGTTATTATTACAGTAGGTATTGTTAATATACGGTGTCCATTAATGAAATTGAAAAGAGGGAAAACTTTTTATTTTTCATTTTATAATTAAAAAATTCATTCTAAATTCTATTTCTATTCAGACTAAGAAGATTAAGAACTAGTTCAGTTAAGGGATATGTAAATAACGAATCATTTTTCAGCATTTGATATGTACAGGGTGGGCAAATAAGCGAGGTAAGCGGCTATATCTCAGAAACTAGTGATCGTAGAGAGCTACGGTAAAAAATTTTATAGGTAAAGTGGGCAAGGGAAAATGCTGGAAATTATTTTCAAGTTTCCAAGATGGCCGCCAGTGGGCGTTTCCACCATATTGAATTACATAAAGTTACGTTTCTCACGATTTTCCCCAATGAATGTAACAAAAAAGTATTTGCGTTTTAATGTTAACTTAAAGTCGAACATTTTTTGTAAAAACAATTTTTCTCTATCTTTCGAAATAAAGTGGTGGGGGGTATTTGAATGTTGTTTGAAATAAATGCCTGTAACTTCGAAACGGCTTAATGGATTTGGATAAATTTGGTATCATTGAAAAGAGCATTTCTTGGGCTTTTAGGTTTCTCGTAATCATGACAGTTGCGACCTACACGGCCGCCGATAGAGGGCGTTATTCGATATTATAACCAAAATATTGGATTTTCTCAAAAAATTTAAATGCGATGATATGACTTTTTTTAGACTAGAAAATAGACAAATGACCAACCAATAAGCCTGCGCAAACCGCATCTTAATATCTTTTTCCTAACTCAAATTATTAAAAAAAATACTAAACCAGGAAAATTCATATATCCCCATTTAAAAATGCATCGGTTGCTTTCGATAAGAAGGCAAGTAGTAGGCCATGGAAATAAAAGACAAACTCCTCTCTAAAATATTCACAAGAAATGTCAGTTTATTTAGTGCTGTGATTTTAAGTCGCACGTTTTCGTATTTATAAGCGATTTTCCTTTTAAATAAAGTTGTGGTCCTGAAAAGGACCGATTTTGAAAAAAGATTAATGCCTTCTGTGTTCAAATTGCCTTCCGTCATATTCCACACATTGTTCCAGTCTTTCTTGAGTCGACAGAACCGCAGCCTCGATTTCTACCGCTGATAGTTGACGAATTGAGTTTCGAATTCTGTTTTCCATATCCATTCGTGTTGTTGGTGGAGTTTGAAAAACAATGTCTTTTAAGCGTCCCCACAAGTAAAAATCAAGACATGTCAAGTCCGGAGATCTTGCCGGCCAAGGAAATAGGCTTCCCCTTCCTATCCAGCGTTCTCGAAAGGTCCCGTTAATATGGTTTCGGACATTAATTGAATAATGTGCCGGACAACCATCTAATTGCAGAAACATAGTTCTCCTAGTTTCGAGTGGCACATCTTCCAACAAAATTGGCAAGTCGTTGATCAAAAACTCTAAGAAGCGGTTACCAGTTAAAGCTTGATCAAAAAAATAAGGTCCAATAATTCTGTCCCCAATGATACCGCACCACACATTTAGGCTCCAGCGTCCCTGGTGCTGCACTTCTCTTAACCAATGCGGATTTTCAGCGGACCAATAATGCATATTATGACGGTTTACTCTACCATCACTACTAAAGGTAGCCTCGTCGGTCCAGAGAATTTCCGTTAAGAAATTTCTGTTTTCCTCAAGCATGCCTAGCATCCATTGACAATAATTTAATCTATTATCGAAATCTTGTTCATTTAGCGCCTGGTGCAAAACTATGTGGTAAGGATGTAATCTAAAAGTAAAAAACAACATATGCGTAAAAATAATATAATCAGAATAACACTGAATTGTGTATTTGAGAGTATGTGCTAAGATACTTGGAATAAGATAAAATTATTTACCTATAATCTTTCAAAATATTTCTAACAGTTGTTCGTGCTATTCCCAAGTCTAGAGACAATGTTCTAGTTCCTACATGTCTATCAAATTCTATGTAAGCCAAGACATTGATAATGTTTTCTTCGGTCCTTCCATTGCGACGCCTGCGACGTTTAGGACGACGAAAACTTCCAGTATCGCGTAATCGCTGTACCAAGCGCGGAAACATTCTTCTCCCGTAATGACGGCGATCTGGATACCGTGCCGCGTACTGTCTTGCAGCTATAGCTGCATTTTGAAAACACTCGAAATAAATCGCAATCATGTCAACGGCTTCATTATTTGTGAGAGGCATTTTGATTAAAAAGTACTCAAATTATACGCAATCAACAATATTAGGCTGCGTGTGACAAAAGTTTGACGTTACTTGGCAATATTTTTGTTAGGCGATTGTCGTGTCCATGGCCTACTACTTGCCTTCTTATCGAAAGCAACCGATGCATTTTTAAATGGGGATATATGAATTTTCCTGGTTTAGTATTTTTTTAAATAATTTGAGTTAGGAAAAAGATATTAAGATGCGGTTTGCGCAGGCTTATTGGTTGGTCATTTGTCTATTTTCTAGTCTAAAAAAAGTCATATCATCGCATTTAAATTTTTTGAGAAAATCCAATATTTTGGTTATAATATCGAATAACGCCCTCTATCGGCGGCCGTGTAGGTCGCAACTGTCATGATTACGAGAAACCTAAAAGCCCAAGAAATGCTCTTTTCAATGATACCAAATTTATCCAAATCCATTAAGCCGTTTCGAAGTTACAGGCATTTATTTAAAACAACATTCAAATACCCCCCACCACTTTATTTCGAAAGATAGAGAAAAATTGTTTTTACAAAAAATGTTCGACTTTAAGTTAACATTAAAACGCAAATACTTTTTTGTTACATTCATTGGGGAAAATCGCGAGAAACGTAACTTTATGTAATTCAAGATGGTGGAAACGCCCACTGGCGGCCATCTTGGAAACTTGAAAATAATTTCCAGCATTTTCCCTTGCCCACTTTACCTATAAAATTTTTTACCGAAGCTCTCTACGATCATTAGTTTCTGAGATACAGCCGCTTACCTCGCTTATTTGCCCACCCTATACGTACTTGTACGTACTGTACAACAGAAATTTTTGCATTTTGAGCAAATCTTTATGTTTAAAAAGTAATTGCAGCGT